TATATTGAGAAATGCTTTATTGCGTGTCTGGAAGAAATATCAATATAAGTTAAATGAAAAGATACCTATATGGACAGCACCCAGGCACGCAATAGAGAATACGAGTATAGAAAGTAGACAGGATGTAATTATATATAAAGATATTCTCATTATGGAGGGAGGTATATTAAAATTAAAACCTGTGAATGTGTTGAAAGAGGAGAAAATAACTCAAACTTGGTTTCAATATGTACAATTATAAGCCAGATGGAGAAGAGACCAGAAAACTGGTGTTATACAAAGTGATGAAAATTTAATTAAACAAATTAGAGACCAAAGCCCAATGCACATAAAAAGATTGTATAATATATTGATAGAGATGGACTCAGAAACAGAGTTAGTTAAGGACTGTATGATAAAATGGGCGCAGAATTTTGAACAGCCAATAATGATGGAAACGTGGGAAAAAATATGGGTGACAAATGTGAAATTTACCAAAGCGCAAAATTTAAGGGAGAACTTTTATAAAATGTTTATAGATGGCATCTAGACCCAAAAAAGTTATCTCTTACGTATCCGAATGTACAACCAAAATGTTGGAGATGTAATTGTGAGGATGCTACTTATTTTCACATTTGGTGGACATGTAAAAAGGTTAAAGCGTTTTGGATTAAAATCTGGTGGATTTTACAAAATATTCTTAAAAAGAGGTTGAAATTTACACCACAGCTGTTTCTGCTGGGTATAGTTACGGATTGTACAGTTATAGAGACTAAATTGATTTTGAACTTAATAACTGCAGCAAGACTGTTGGTGGCACAATATTGGAAGAAGTAAGATTTACCTACAATCCAAGAGTGGACAATGAAAGTTACAAACCTAGAGGAAATGACAAAAATCTTGGCGTAATTGAAGGATCATTCAAATGAAAGATATTTAAGAGACTGGAGAAAATGGATAGATTATATTCAAAATAAATACCGGAATAAGAAATTGCAGATAGGTTATGAATGATTATATAGATATTTGGTGTGTCTTTAAGTAATAAAGCTAGGCGGGTAATTAGGGAATTGAAGGAACAAGAGATGTGGAATGTCATAATTATTTAGACTAGGATTGATTATGATTGTTGAAGGTTATACCCTGTAATTTGTTCTGGGAAGAGGAGGGGGGAGGGGGGAGGTTGAGGTAGGGAAGGGGGGGGGAAATATGCAAACTTTTTGTAAAACTTTTCAATAAAAAAAACAACATCATCTTTATTCTACATTGGCCTTCTCCAGCCTGGTGTGTTTCAGATCTATAAAATACAGTTTATAACATTCCCAACCAGCATACTAAAAAGAAAGGCTGCTGTTACTTATTTATCAGATTTATCTATTATTTGAAACCTTAACAGGTTCTATGTAGCTCACAGAGCTTACACTTAAAATACAATAAAAAAATAAATATAATAATTACCGTATTTTTCAGAGTATAAGACACACCTAAGTATAAGGTGCACCTTAGTTTTTGGGGAGGAAAATAAGAAAAAAGCTGATTGGCAGGTGGATCAGCCTCCCAGAATACCCCCAATCAGCTGTTCCCAGAGGTGAATTTTAGCAACAGGTTCCTTGGTTGTGAGCTCTGTGCCTTGCTTTTTTTGGCTTTTTTTCCTGCCTCTGAAACTTCTGAAACTCCATTTCAGAAAAACCTTTTTCCTGCCTCTGAAAGCCTCCAAAACAGAGCTTCAGAAAAAAAGCCTCTGAAGCTCTGTTTGGGGGCTTCTTTTCTGAAGCTTTTTTCTGATGCTTTTTTCAGCCTCTGAAACCTCCATTTGAGAAGCTGGGTGGGGCTACATTCGGAGTATAAGACGCACCCAGATTTTCACCCTCTTTTTTTGGGGAAAAAGGTGCATCTTATACTCTGAAAAATACGGTAATTATTATATTTAAAATAATTAAAATAATAAATTCCAATCTTATTGGCAATTAAATTGAACACAAACAATAATAACCTAAAGAGTATGGTGTTGGTGATTGGTGGTGTTGGTGATTGACTCTTGCAAGCTAGGTTTGTGCAACTAATGTCAGAAAGAAAACCCACTGAAATCAATGGAATTCTCTTATTTTTCTGGGTAGATATGAGCATAAAGTTAATCTAAAGATGTTGCCCTATTGTTAACCATTTTAAATGTCACCGTATTATCTCTCACCTTTTCTTCCTCACAACTGTCCTAGAGGCCTGTTGCCAAGCTCAAAATGTTTGTATAAATAAACTCATTGGCTTATTCCTTCTTGTCTCTGACTTAATCAATCAATCAATGAACTGGAATAAATGTCCTTTCTCTGTATCTGTAGTTGCTTAGTATAGGCAAAATTGTGGAGTTAATTCATGCAATTCCTAGAAAGATTACAAAGAATTATAAGATGATAGAGCCAGTTTGGATTAGAAGTTAACGCATCATGGTAGAAACCAGAAGACTGTGAATTCTAGTTCCATTTTAGCTATGAAAGCCAGCTGGGTGACCTTGGGCCAATCACTCTATCTCAGTCCAACTCACATCACTAAGTTGTTTTTGAGGGCAAAAAAATGGAAGAAGAAGGAGTATAAAATATGTTCACCCCCTTAAGTTGTTTATAAAAAATAAAAGTGGGCTATAAATAAATAATAATAAATAAATAATAATAGTAAATAAAGATGAAAAGCTAAACCACATGATACAAATCTCAAGGATCTGTTGGAAGCAGTGGCTACTCTTTTCATTCTTCTCAGCAAATGATAGTATTATGTACATATTCCTTTCACTTGTTCCTCTTTTCTCTTCTCAGTCATGATGCTTAGCTGCACAGAGATACGACATAAAGCCCATAAGCAATGAATGAATGAGCGACAAATTACAGTCAACTATCAACTAATATTTGAAAATCATGTTAGGATGCAGACTCCTGAATTGGTATTTGTGGATATATGGAGAGAGAGGGGGGGATGGAGGGAGGGAGAGGGAGAGGGAGAGGGAGAGAGAGAGAGAGAGAGAGAGAGAGAGAGAGAGAGAGAGGGAGGGAGGGAGAGGGAGAGAGAAAGAGAAATCTATTCTACAATAGCTGTGGCATTTGAAAGGATAATAAACTCAGAAGAGTCTGCATGTTCACAGGGATCTTATCAGTGGTTGATGAGGCCCTGTCCAGGCTTACAGACAGGCAGTTTCCTTCTGCACTGGGACGTTGGCCTGCTGTGGAGCCAGCAAAAAGGTGATAAGCTGTGGAGAATATTTTTTTCGGAGTCTTGATTATCTTTAACACCAAGTGGTCAGGACGCATTTTCCACCATTGCCACTTTACAGATAGGCTGGTTGCTTTTCAATCAGGCTAAGAAATGGGAAGAAAGAACAAATGGTGTCCAGTTATTTTCTTTTCAAAGACCCTTAGGAATCTAGAGACCTGGAGGTAGATTTTTTAAAAATGGGAGAGAAAGAATGTGTGTTTGTGCGGATAAATGCTTGTAGATTCAGAGTAAGTACGGAGTGATTCTGAAAGAGAACATTCAGACAAGCTATCTGTAGTTATGTCTGCAGCTGCCAGGCAGGGAAAGGGCTGCAAGAATTTGGTCATTTGATAAGAAAAACTCTGTCTGTGTTGAGTGGCAAAACATTGCAGACCCATTATTCAGGAAACAGTGTAAAACTGATCTTTAACCAAATGGACAAGGAGTTTTTCTCAATAAAAAGATAAAACAAGTTATATAGGAAGATTTAGAATTCTTCCAGAACTTTCTCAATTTTCAAGCTGCACATAATATCTCAGTAATGCTCAGAACAATTGTAGTGGGGCTTGCCTTGTCAGTGTATAAGAAAGATCAGCCGGTCCCTCTTTCTAACAAATCGGAATTGATCACATGAGTGAAAGCAAGGGTTTGTAAATCCAGAGTGCTCCATGTTCTGCATGTACTCTTTGTTATGGGTAAAGCCTTTAATTGACATTGGGATAATCAGTGTTATGAATTCCTTGAATATTTTGTAATAATTAATTAGTTACTAGTTCCTCCCATTTCTCCCCTAGGCTAATATCATTATTCTATTACAATTGCAGTTTCTGGAGCCTGATGTAGGTTTTGCTTCATTTACTTCTCATAGATTTCCACAACTAAGTGCAGATGGATTCTGGTTCACTAACCAAATTGGAGTGATTCATATTGATTTGTATTTCATCTGAAATTAGGAAGCTTTGTTGCAAAATGAGTACAGATTATACAGAGTTTAAAGAACAATTTAGAGAGCTGTGGAGATGAAAGGTTTACAATAGAAGCTGTGGAGGTGCAGTGGTTAGAATGTAGTATTGCAGACTAACTCTGCCCGTAGACAGGAGTTGGATCCTGACTGGCTCAAGGTTGACACAGCTCCATCCTTCGGAGGTTGGTAAAATGAGGACCCAGACTGTTGGGGGAAATATGCAGACATTTGTAAACTGCATGGAGAGCGCTCTAAAGCATTATGGAGCACTCAGATAATTGTGTAAAATCTAAGTGCTATTGCTATTTTTCTTAGTCAGGAATCAAGAACAATTTGTCTACAGTTTTAGTTCAAAGGCCAGTCGAGCCTTTTCCTTCCCGAGAGGCTAACCATAAAGCCAAGTTTTGGAGGGCTGCTTCCATACAGCAGAGAAAAAATGGTCTCTGATGTCTGTTCTTCCTCTTAGTTTGTTCTGTCTAAGAGGAGAAAAAAAAGGGATGTTTTGGAATGCCAAGCAATAAGTGTCACTTGAATCCAGGGACATTATGGTGAAAAAAATTGTATTTGTTAAATCATGGGCGATTGAAGGAAGACTCGAAACAATGTAACTGTAACTCTTTTATTTAACTCCAGAAACAGCAATGGCAATTCAAACCCCGGGCAACCCTTTATATAGGAAGGGGCTGTCCCCGGCTGCAACCACTGACGTGCCTTCTAATTTCCCGCTCTCAGGACTAATTCCTGATTGGCTCATTTGAACTGTACTTGATATCTAACACTCCTCCCCCCTAGTTCAGTGTCCGCCCGTCCGGGGTCTCTATGCTATGTAGTCGCGTAAGTAGGCGGGTCGCTTGGAGGTTCGACCGGACCTGCGCAGTTCAGTCATTCCGGTGCCTTCGGGTTGAGAGGTTGAGGTCCGCTGCTCCCTCTGTGTGGGCTCCGGAACTCTCTCGAACTCGGTCTCCGGCGTGGATTCGCCTCCTTCTCCCACTTTACTTGGCTGTCCCCGCCGGCTCCTTTCGGCGCCTGTCGCCTCCTCCGTGGACTCAGGTACGTGCTCGCTGTTATCTTCTTCCGGGCTGGTGTTAGGCATGTCCAGAACTGGCGTTTGTGTATTGGCCCGCTCTGGTACCGCTTGCGTGTCTTTTCCTTCCCCCTGGTTGTTGTGCTGGGTTTCCCTCTCGACTCTCGTTACTCTTCCCCTTAGCTGGTCGATGTGCCTTTTCCAGTGCTGGCCGTCTGTTGTCTGGACCTGGTAGGACAGGGGCCCCATCACCTGGGTTATTGTTGCTGGTACCCAGAGTGGGTTTCCGCTCAGGTTTTTTGCGTAGACTCTGTCCCCTGGCTGGAACTCTCGGATTCTGCTCGTGGAGTCGGTTGGCTTCTCTGTGCTGTACTGTGGGTGCAGTCTGTCCAGAGGGGATCTCAGCTTACGGCCCATTAATAATTCTGCTGGGCTTCGGTGGGTCGTGGCGCTTGGTGTAATGTGCTGGATGGCTAATAGTTTATCTAATTTGGCCTGAATGTCCCCTGGGCCTAATCTCATGAGCGTCTCCTTTGTAGATCTCACCATCCGTTCCGCCAACCCGTTCGTCGAAGGTTTTTTGGGGGCCGATAAGGCGTGCCTTATTCCTTGGTCAGCGAGGAACATCTCGAAGGTGTTTGATGTGAACGGCGGCCCGTTGTCGGAGATTATGAGGTCGGGAATCCCATGTGTGGCGAATAGGCGTCTCAATACTTTAATCACTGCGTCTGCTGTGGTCATCGACATGAGCACTACTTCAAGCCACTTTGAATATGCGTCCACGATGACTAGGAACGTATTCCCTTTGCACGGCCCTGCGAAGTCGATGTGCAATCTGGCCCATGGTGTTCCCGGGTTTTCCCAGTCGTGGACAGGGGCTGAGTTTGGTGCCGCCCTCGACTCTTGGCAGTTTGCGCAGGAGGACACCCACATCTCGATTTCCTTGTCCATCCCGGGCCACCACACGTAGCTTCTGGCCAGGGCTTTCATCCTCACGATCCCCGGGTGCCCGTCGTGGAGTAATCTGAGTGTCTGTTGTCTTAGTGTGTTTGGAACAATGACTCTATCCCCCCACAACACGCACCCCCTTAGTCCTGACAGTTCATTTTGCCTCCGTTTGTATGGCAGGAACTCTGTGCTTATGTCTTTTTCCTCCGGCCACCCCTTCCAGATCCAATTTAAAATTCGTGCCAGTATTTTGTCCTTTGAGGTGGCCCTCGTGATGTCGGCTGCAGAAATTCGGGCTTCCTCCATTGTCTCGATTAGCAGGGTGGTCATCGCTGGAGCTGGATCCTCCCCCGTTTCTGGAAGTGGGCACCTGCTGAGGGCGTCTGCATGGTCGATTGATTTTCCCGGGTGGTGGAGCAGTGTGTAGTTGTAGGCCGCCAGAAACTCCACCCATCTTAGCATTCTGGGCGACAAAACGGGGGGTGTTGGTTTGTCCCCTGCTATGATGCCTAACAATGGCTTGTGGTCGGTTATTAGTTCAAAACTCCGACCGTAGAGATACTCATGGAACCTTTTTATTCCGGCTACTGCGGCTAACGCCTCTTTGTCCAATTGGCTATAGTTCCGTTCGGGTTTTGACAAAGTCCGGGAGAAAAATGCAATGGGGGCCTCTGTTCCGTTAGGCATCTTGTGGCTCAATACAGCTCCGATGCCGAAGGGGGATGCATCGCAAGTTAGTCTTATGGGTAATGTCCCGCTGTATTGCACTAAAACTCTGTCTGACGTTAAAAGGTTCTTTATGTCTTCGAACGCTTTCCTCTCTCGCTCCCCCCATTTCCATTCTGCCTTCCTGTCCAGTAGCCGGTGGAGTGGTTCAGCAGTGGTAGCTTTCTGTGGTAGGAAGATATTATAAAAGTTAAGCAACCCCAAAAATGCCTGCAGTTCGGTTTTATTTTTTTGGGGGGGGGTGCTTCCTTGATCGCTCTCAGCTTCCCGGGGGTGGGTCTAATTCCCGACTCATCTATCAAGTATCCCAGGAACTCGACCTGAGTCTCTGCTAGTTGGCACTTGTCCCTTTTAACTTTGAGTCCCACTTTTTGGAACCTTGTCAGCACCTCCCTCAGCCGCTGCTTCAATTGAGTCGTGTCCCTTGCTGATATTAATACATCGTCGAAATATGGGACGACTCCCTCGATTCCCTGTAGGAGTCGTTCCATCAGGCTTTGGAAAAGCCCGGGTGCTACACTCACCCCAAATTGCAGTCTCTTACATTTGAATGCGCCCCTGTGTGTAACGATGGTTTGTGCTTCCGCGGTGGCTTCATCTACGGGCAGCTGCTGGTATGCTTGTGCTAAATCCAATTTTGCGAAGATTCTTCCCCTCCCCAAGGAATGCAAGAGGTGTTGGACTACTGGTACAGGGTATGCGCTTTGTTGGAGCGCCTTATTTAATGTACTTTTATAGTCTCCGCACAAGCGTACTGACCCGTCCGGTTTAATCGGTGTCACGATGGGGGTTTCCCATCTCGCGTGGTCTATTGGCTCTCCCTGCACGACCAGTTTATCTAATTGTTCGTCTATTTTTGGCCGTAGCACAAAAGGGACTCTCCGGGGTTTGATTCGGAATGGGGCTACCTGGGGGTCTAAATTGAATGAGATTGGGGACCCTTTGTACTTGTCTAGCTCGTTGTTAAAGACCTCTGCGAACTCCCTCATCAGGTCCTCCTCCCAGGTGTCGTTTCCAATGTGATCGACGCCGGTGATGGCTAGCCCCAATGGCTCGAACCACTCCATGCCCAGCAGGCTGGGCCGGTCTCTGTCCACAATTGTGAGGGGTAGCGTGGCTTTGAATGTCTTGTAGGCTACGTTGAACTTGTCAATGCCTACCACAGGAATTCGGTTCCCTTGGTAGTCGATGAGGGTGAGGCGCTGTCGTTTGAGGTCGCGGGCTGTGATGTGTGGCAGGAGCTTCTTGATTGTTGTCCAGGATACCATCGATAGGCTGGATCCCGAGTCCACCTCCATTCTGCAGGGTCTCCCCTCGATCAAGACTGTTGCCGCCATCTTATTTGCCCTTCCCGCGCTGGCATGGCCGATCACGATGGTTTGATGGGTCTCGCCTCGATCCACCCGATGGTCATCGTTTCTTTGTCCTTGCCCAAACGGTTGTCTCTTCCCACTTGTCTGGAATTTTCTGTTGTTTGTTGGCGATCGGGGGGGTCTGGTCCTCCTTGAGGCTGGCTGGGATGTCCTGCAGACCCTCGCTATGTGCCCTTTCTTTTCGCATCTTTGGCAGATAGCGTCCCGGAATCTGCATTCGGCTCTCGGGTGGTTCCCTTCGCATCCCGAGCACCAGGCCTCTCTCTTCCCCTGTTGTCTCTCCTTGCGATCGGCTCGGAGGTGATGGACTTCATCCTCCTCGTCCTCTTCCTCCGAATCCGATTCCACTCTTTCATAGTGCACGGCCGCCTCCTCCTTTACGGGCGGCCCGTTTTTCATTTTCTTCATAGCTGCCGCCGATTTCTGGGAAGCTTCGGTTGCGGATGCTTCTTCCAAGGCCTCCTTGAATGTAATTTGAGGCCAGGCCAGCAACCTACTCTGTAACGTGAGGTCCCTCAGTCCCAGTACTAGACGGTCCCTCATGGCCTCTTCTAGATTCAGGAAATCGCATGCGGCAGCTATTTCCCACAAGGTCGCCACGAACGCACTGATTGTCTCTCCCTCTCTTTGGTCCCTCCGATAAAACTCATGCCTTCTTACCAGGGATGATGCTTGTGGTGCGTAGTGTGCCTTGAGTATTTCTTGCAACGTTGTCCAGGTCATGGTCTTCAGATCGGCTGGGGCGGCGAGCGCTTTTGCCATTTTAAACACTGCCGGGCCGCAATGGGTGAGGAAAAGGGCCCTCTTCCTCTGCTCTGATAAGCTCAGCAGATCGTTCGCCTCCATGAACATATAGAATCGCTCCATGTAAGCTTCCCAATCTTCCCCGGTTGGGTTGAATGGAGCGGGTGGTGTGATTGCAGACATCACGATAGCCGATGATCTGACCGGTGTTTCGGTGGATCGGATGGGTGGCTGATGATTGCTTGGAGATTGATGTGCAGTCCTGTTCCTTCAGATCCCACCTTCGTCGCCAATGTTAAATCGTGGGCGATTGAAGGAAGACTCGAAATAATGTAACTGTAACTCTTTTATTTAACTCCAGAAACAGCAATGGCAATTCAAACCCCGGGCAACCCTTTATATAGGAAGGGGCTGTCTCCGGCTGCAACCACTGACGTGCCTTCTAATTTCCCGCTCTCAGGACTAATTCCTGATTGGCTCATTTGAACTGTACTTGATATCTAACAGTATTATTGGTTGCAAAGAGGTTCAGGAACCAACCCCCCCCCCACCCCCCCCCCACCATCATTCAGACATTATTTATCCTTGCAGCCAACTCTCCACTTGAGTTTACTAAACTCTTGCTAAGGCAATGACTTTGAGAAAGGAGTGATGCAAACTGGATTGGTCAAGGATAGCATTTGCATTGCTGCTGCCTTTCCCATCCCAAGCCACCCCTTAAAGCCCTCTTCTCTGTTGTTCTAGATCAGGGGTCTACAACCTTAAACCCTCAAAGAGCCATTTGGACTGTTTCCCACAGAAAAGAAAACACCAGGAGCCAATAATTTAACAACTGGTGTGACTGGGTGGCAGGGCCGGATTTTCCTATAGGCTAACTAGGCTTCAGCCTAGGGCCTCAAGATCAAGAGTGGTGGGATTCTGGGGGTTCTAGGGGGTTCGGCCAAACCCTTTGTTAAATTGCTGGCTCACCCCGCCCCTTGCCCCGCCCCCCTGCACTATTATTTATTTCCAATAAATGGGGCGGGCAAGCCAGCAATTTAACAAACGGTTCAGTGTTTTTTTTGTAATTTATTGGCCCCTGAACCGTTTGTTAAATTGCTGGCTCGCCCGCCCCTCGCCTCCCACCTGCGTGGCGCCAGCCTACCGTAGCCAGGGGTAGACAGCTTGGCTGTCTCAGGAATTCTGGGAGTTGAAGGCCACAGGTTGTAAAAGAGCCACAATTGCCCACCCCTTCCCTAGCCTGAGTTCCGCTGCCTGGGATCCACGTGGGCTGCCACGTGGTTCCCCACCGGCTCCGGACGCAAGAGAGCAGGATGGAGAAAGCAGCTTCCACGCCTTCACTCACCCTCACTCTCTGCTCTGTTGGATCACTGGCCGTTCGCTTACCCCACCCACTCCCAATCTATTGCTGCTTCTGATGGCTAGAGGAAAAAAAAACTTCAAATTCTTGCCGCGGGGCTTCAAAGGGCCGCCCTAGAGCCAGTGGTTGCTGGGGAGAGACAGCAACTGCCACCCAGTCGGATGCCTGTCTCGTGCAACCCATCGGAGAGAATGAGGTAACCCTGGGGAATCTGGAAAAACCCCACTGGTCGATTGGCATTGGGAAGAAAGATGGCTGGGATGAGAGAACCAGAGGAGTCACTCTCAACCATGGCAACCGAAAACCGGGGTGGAAACTGGAACTAGAAGCCCTTACTGACCAGGGGGGACTGACCGAAGCACCCCTGAGGGAGGACTATCTGAAGAGGCATATAACCCAACTGGTGATTGAGACTTTGGAAAATCTCAACATCCGAAGGGAGCCAGGACAACAACCAAAGAGCACTGAAAGGGCAGCAGTCGTGGATGATGCCAGGGGAGGCACCCCCCTCCTGGAGCCCGCCTATCAAGCAGATGGTGCAGCAGCAGCAGGAGAAGACCCAGCAAACCTTCCCACCCAGGCAGCACGCACACCGGCGCCCATTCCCAACCAACCCGGGCTCCTCAACTGGAAAGAGAAACTTCCCCCCTTGGGGTGAAGTTTGATGGGAATCCGCAACAATTAGGATTCTTTATGGCACATGTGCTAACCTACATGCAATAGTATGGGCATGATTTCCAAACCCAAGGCTCCCGAGTGCGAGTTGTGACCCTAGCCCTAGAGGGTGCCGCAGCCAGATGGATGGTGACCCTACATAACGCCAACACACCAGAACTGCAGAATTTCGACCGTTTCATGATGGCCCTGCGACGTTGATTCGAGGACCCACAGGCAGATCGCAAAGCACGCGACTGCATTAAGGTGGTGAGGCAGGGGCGACGGCCAGTAGCAGAGTATACTGAAGAATTCCGGGACCTCGCGTGTCATGTGCACTGGCCGGAAGATATTTTGGTGAGCTGTTTCAAGGACGGACTGAGTGATGATCGATACAATGCCTGCATGGCCCGAGGTGCACCGAATGACCTACGTGAATGGTATGTCATCGCCGAAGAAGCTAAGATTGATATGACCAGAAACCAGTATCGAGCGGGGCGAGCATGGAAGAAATCCTCACCCCAATGGAAGCAGGAGCCCCACAAACCACAACCGCATTCTCCCCAAGATCTTCAGCCTGTTTCAAGTGTGGAAAAGAAGGGCACCGAGCTGCAGAGTGTCGTTCGCAAACACCTGCCCAGAACCACCCACCGGGGGAGGGTCCTGAAAAACCGGGTCGGCGTGGGAAGGAGACTGCTCTGAGGAGCAGGGAGACCATAGAAGTCCCATCCCCTCCCCTCTTTGGGGAAGAAACCCTGGCATCTGAACAGGAGGAATCACACTCATTCGGAAGCGATCCAGATGATGAGCCACTGGTAAGCAAACCAATTAAACCACTTACTCTCCCCTTAAGACTATTTATCCCAAACCAGGACAGGGAGATAAGTATCCCCACCCTAGTGGATTCAGGGTGCACCCATTGTTTGATCAGCCCAACCTTAGTAGGGAAGTTAGGGATTAACATAAGAAAGCTGAAAACCCCCATTGCTTTCTGCCAACTAGATGGGTCAATAGAAGGAGGGGAACCAGCTTCTCTGGCCACCGTGCCTCTACATATAGGCATCGGAAGCCATGAGGAAAGGCTTACATTTATAGTGGCACCTGGCATGGAATGGCCGTTGGTTCTGGGCCTTGTGTGGCTAAAAAGATGGAACCCACAAATCAATTGGAAACAAGGCATCATAAAATTTCAGAGGAAGGTGACTTGTGCTGAGTATCCACATAAAGGACTTGAGGGGGCAGAGAATCGAGAAACAGCCATCCCTGGTCATGCCATACCAACTGAGGGCATACCCTTGGAATACAAGGATTTAGCTGAGGTTTTTAGCAAAAAAGCCTCAGATGAGCTCCCCCCCCCCCACCGCGCCACTGACTGTGCAATAGAAATCTTACCCGGCGCGAAACTCCCTAAACCCAAGATGTACAGCATGTCACCGAGGGAGTTGGAAGAGCTGAGAACATTCATTGAGAAAAAAACTAGCAAGGGGTTTCATCGAGCCAGCCCGACCAAAAATTGCAGCTCCAGGGTTGTTTAGAGAGAAAAAAGATGGCTCAAAATGTCTATGTGTTGACTTTCGAAACCTGAATACTATCAGTGTGCAGAACATGTATCCTCTTCCCCTTATGAAAGATATGTTAGCACACCTCGCTAAAGGGAAAAGTTTTTCAAAGCTGGACTTAAGGGAGGCTTACTACCATGTCAGAATTAAGGAAGGGGATGAGTGGAAAATGGCATTTAACCCCCGCCCCCGGCTGCTACTAATTCAAGGTGCTCCCCTTTGGGTTGCAAGGAGCTCCTGCAGTGTTTATGCAGTTAATAAATGAAGTGCTGCATCAACATTTATATAAGGGGGTTCTGGTCTATTTGGACGACATTTTAATCTATACCGAGACCAAAGCAGAACATGTAAAACTAGTCAGGGCAGTTTTAAACAAACTCCATGCTGCCAAACTTTATGCCAAACTTTCCAAATGTGAATTCCATCAAGAGAAGATTGATATTTGGGATACCACATTTCACACCAGGCGGTTGAGATGGATCCTCTAAAAGTGCAGGCTGTACTTGATTGGGACCCTCCACACACATGTAAACAGTTGCAGAGCTTCCTGGGGTTTGCCAACTTTTACTGCCAGTTTATCCCTGCATTCGCTCAGATTGCCCTCCCCATCACCAAGCTCTTAAAAACAAAGGGGGAGGATAACCCTAAACCAAAGCAACCATTGAACTGGACTATGGAATGCCAGGCAGCATTTGAAAAACTTAAACGGCTGTTCTCGGCAGAACCAATTCTACAACACCCAGACATGGAGAAACCATTTGTCATACAAGCAGATGCCAGTGATGTGGCAATAGGAGCGGTCCTGCTTCAGAAGAATGAGCAAGACCAACTACAACCCTGTGCTTACACATCCAAAAAGTTGAATGAGACTGAGCAAAGGTGGGCTATTTGGGAGAAAGAGGCATATGCAGTTCGTTGGGCATTGTTAACCTGGCGGCACTTCTTAGAAGGCAGTAAGTCCCCTTTTGAAGTCTGGACTGATCATAAAAATCTAGAAACCCTAAAGACCCCAAGGAAACTCTCCCCAAAACAAGTACAATGGGCTCAGTACTTTAAACGGTTTGATTTTACTCTAAAATACCTCCCGGTGGGGAAAAACTTTCTGGCGGATGCGCTATCCAGAAAACCGCAATATATTAGTGCAAAGTCAGACGTAATCAAACCTATAGTACAAAACAATCAACTAGCCACTAAAGTAGTCACCAGATCCCAGGAAAAACAAGAAATAGTGACGGACAATGACATCACCCAAAATTTTAAACAAGCATTGGCCACTGATGAATGGTTTTTGAACAACAAATCCAGCTGTCTGATGAAAGAAGACTTGGCTTGGGTGAGGGGGAAGTTGTATGTCCCTGCAAGCCAAAGACTATGCTTAATGGTACGGTGCATGACTCCAAATTAGCTGGACATTTTGGGTTTGTGAAAACTTTACACTTGATTAAAAGACAGTTTTGGTGGCCATCACTAAAAAAGGACATAGAAAGCTATGTAGCTAGCTGCCCCATTTGTGCAGCAGCAAAAAGATGCCAGGGAAAATCCCCAGGTCTATTGCAGAAGGTAGCTGAACCTTCAGCGCCTTGGAGAGAGATCACTATGGATTTCATTGT